AGAAGCTGTGTTATTTCCAGTCCCAGCGCGTGGCTCCTTTCTAATGAACTGACTCATCGTGAGCTAAAGCTGTCATTGCTTCGAGGCTGAAACACTGAAGCTTGGAAAACTTCTCATAATTACAGGTTGGGAAAACAGAAAAGGCACAGTCAAAGCTATATATAGTGTAAAACATCACTCCGGGTGAAATAGCTTCAGTGAAAGATAGCTTCTTACCCCTTGAAGTTAACACACTTGTGCCTTCGTAATTTTCCTTCTCATTGGGTAAGGAAGGCAGACAGTTCATGGTCAGCTGGAGTGCAATGGGCAACTTCAGTATGATTCGACCATGATGCTGCAGTGTTGAGAATCTGCTCTTTACTCAGTGTCTGCATCCTACCTCATCCTAGAGCTTTCCCCAGTTTGGTGTTTCTCTCGCAGGGCAGTGGCCAAGGCACGGTATGTACCACTGCTGACAGAGCGTGGCGAGGGCTGGGCCCAGACCTGTCCGTTGGTATGTCGGTTCATTCCAAGTGTCTGTATGCGTGAAATAAACACTAACTGTCCTTTGACTGGAATTTTATACCCTGTTGTGATACAGCCTTACACTTGAAAGGCATTACAGATTTTGGTTAAGAGCTTTTTGAAACAGAGCTCATGCTAACTAACTACACTGATTTCACGTTAGGGCCATACTTACCTACTTCAGGCTTTCTGATTTTAAAAACAGGCCAGAAACTTTTCAGGCTTTTAAAGTCTGTTTGTTAAGAGTTGGCAGAAGAGAACTGCCCTTTTGGAGCACCAACATAATTACCAAAATTAACAGTAATTTTTTCTCTTCCTTGCTGGGAACTTCGTATTCCTGGTAGCTTCCACGTCTGGAAGAAAAGAGCTGACTCACAGTACTTCATCCCCAGTGCTGCAGTGCTGCTCTGAAGAAATGGTTTAAATTATCAGAAGAGCTATGAGCTCCCTGGTTTCCAGGACAGCCCATCTTCTGAACGCTTTAAGCTGTTTTTTCCTCTGGTCTTAAGATGGAACTTCCCTCGTATTCCAAGCTTTGGTCTTGTTCATTCTGCTTTTGAAAACACAGTCCATCCTTGCTTTTGAGCTTTTGACCTTCTCATGTTCTTTTGTCTTAAGTTGTCCTTCCAGCAGGCTGCAACATTTTCAACCCCATCTAGATTTTTATGTAACTTCAAACGTGCTTTGCCAAAAATCTTTTATTTTTATCTCATCATAAGAGGTCTGTCCTCTCTATTATTCTGTGATGTCTGTGGATGCTTCTGGCTCATCACACCCCTGCAGTTTTCAACAATTTTAAAAGCGTTTTCACTGCATGTAAAGGAGTGAGTAGATCATAAAAGCTGGCAAAACCCACATTGCACACGTACTTACTATAAACAGCAATTTCTTTAGAAATAATGAACTTTTGCCCAGATTTTATTTCACCTAAATTTTGTCAATTACAATTAGGACTTCTTATCAAGGCAGCTCTTTTGCTTTCTTTAACTAGGCAGAACAGAGTGAAGGTGCTCTCCAAAATAACCGTTGAGTAGAGGGAAGGAAGGAAGGACACTCAGAAATAGGAAGTCTTTAGGCGTAGGACATTTTCTGTATACATCTGGGGAGGAGGACAGGCTTTTTCCTCCCTTTGACACACAGTTTTCAGTTTCCTAAGATCTTGATAGTTCAGTTGTTTCACCCCTGGAACTTCAATTATATTTAACTGGTGCTCAAGAGGAAACTCTTCAAAAGCAAGAACTGAGAATATTCTAAAGGTGGGAGAGGTTATTTGCATTAACACAAGGGAAAGGCTCACATTTTTGGAGAAAAAAAAAAAAAGTCTGAATTACTTGTGTGCTTCCCCTCTTTCAAAGGGAAGTGTTTTTAAAGTAGAAAATTTTTCCTGTTCTCACAACTGCTTAAACCACTGAGAACTATTAGTATCTCAGAATTCACTTCTGTTTCTATCCCTCCATGGAATCAATTCTAATATAATCACCTGCTGGGAAAAAGATGGGAAAAAGAGGCAGCACATTAATTTACACAGCTCCTTTCACCTTCAAGTTACTGCTAGTTATCTTCCCCAGTCCTTTTACAGAGAAGCAGGCCCTGGCTTGTCAGTAGCTTAACTACTTATTTGTTATTTTGCACACAGTAAGAGACTTGCTTGCCCAGTTACTCAGAAGGAAATTGCATACAAATCCAAGTTGAACATTTCATGACCTTGCATGGTTCTAGAAATACCCAAATTTTAAGAACAAAGGAATTCCAGCAAGTTCCCATTTCAGAGATCTGTATCTTCATGCTTCTGCTGGTAGCAGCAAGAAAACAGTGATCTGACAGTTGCAGAGATTTTGTTTACATAATGTGAGCTGGAAAAGTGGTCACTTAAATAAATAAGACTAACCCTCATATTTTGTGGCACAGAATAGTCATTGTAGCATAAATGTTTAACTAAAATACAGAGTTCTTACTCTTTTAAAAGCTGGATTCTGATAATCTGCTGCTATAAATTTTAAGCTGGGCCACTGAGTCATAAGTAAATTTATGTTGCTAGTGTCTGTTAATGGAAGGGTTCATTTTTACCTGGCTTTAGCTCCGATGCATATATATAGTCACTAGGGCTTGCCTTACTGGTAACAACAGGAAACAGGCATCTAAAGGGACACATAAATCGTATCTAAAAATAGTAAAGCTCTTGTTCAGACCTATACAAGAACAGTGTTACAAAGGTATGGGTGTAGCATAAACAGCAGCAGCTGTTACTGTGCCCAATACATGGAAACTTAAACAGTGTAGACATTTTTCCAGCAAATTTTTGAGTGGGTGGCCCTGTGTAACCCTGAAAACAATTTCTAATTCTCCACTGCTATACAAACCCACACCACTGAGAAGCCAAGTTTCAGCTGCACTGAAGTTTCTGTTAATACAGGCCCAACATGCAGCAGATTTTGGCCTGAAGGCTACCCACCAAGTGGGTTCATGCATGCACAAGTTTAGAAAATACCAGAACAGAATTACAGCAGACAGATCTTGAAAAAAGCAGTATTTATTTTAAAGTACAACCCAAAGTTGTATCCATAAGAAATGCACAAGGTATCTTGTTTCTTCCACAAGTCTTGGCTGTGTGCATTTCAGTTGAACTTAAAAATGCATTCAGGTTTACAAATGTACAAACAGCACAGAAAGTGTATTACAGTCTCAACAGAATGTTCTTACATTCAGCCATTTTGCTCTTAAGGTTTTGTGTTGGTTTTTTTGTGGATTTTTTTTTTTAACATTCTTAGAACCTGTGTTAACAAAGACAGCCTTATTTTAAAAAAATACTCTGCATTTTAGCACAAAGTGCCTTTTGATTTTAAATTAGAACTTGGAGGATAATACTGGAAAAAAATTTAAAAATCCAAACAGGTACTTTCCATAAAAGTATTGCATGCCAGGACTGTTTTATAGTTCAAATTGTTGCCTAAATAAAGATGGCGGATGATAAAATATGAAAACAGTGAAATTGTTCAGATTTACAGGCTTCAGCTGTAATTGGGATTTGTGACCACACAGAGACTTTTTCAAGCTTATCTGCAGTCTCACACTACCATATTGCAGGACAGACTTTAAAAAGGAGCAAGTGATGAAAGCATGACTGGGGGCAAGGCGGGGGTGGGGGGCAGGGAATAAAAATGCAATGACCAGCAACAGCCTGAAAATGATGTTTCAAAAATTTGCATTCAGAATTGTATCATGACTTGGTAAGAGTTCTTTCCTTTTGCTTAACTTCAGTTTTCATGAGGGTAGTGTGAATTAGACCAAGGATCTGAACTTCTTCTTCCAATTGTTGGGCTCCAAATTCTCCAAGGATTGTAGGTCTGTCCCATGTCTTCAGCAGGGTTGGCAACGGTGGCAGCAGTGGGCGGAGAAGGAGCAGCGGAGTTTTCACTACCCATGAGATCAATGCCTGACAGCGCGTTTGTTGGAGTGGTGAAGGGAAGGCCACTGTTGAGGTTACTTGACCAAATGGAACTGCTGAATGGAGTGGTGGACCACAGGCCACTTGGGTTGCCAAGGATCGACTGCAGTAAAGATAGAGACAGGTAAGTAGCAGTTCAGTAACCTCTATTTTCACTTTGTGTACAGCCGCCCTGAAAGAAAAAGTGATCTAAGAAGCAGCAAGGCTGCTGCGGAACCCCTTCCGTCTTCACTGCAACATGGGGTTTTCAACTCCCTTTGCTAGAGCTTGTCCAGAGGAACCACACTGCTAACAGTCACCAAAGGCATCTGGTAACTGAAGGGGCTGCAGAGTGCAATTGCATTGCAGGCTTTTAAGCCATTTTCGTTTGAGCTTATACATCCCTGTACCATTACTAATTTAAGCACTAGTAGTATTCAAGATTTAACACACAAGGGCAAAAAAGCTCAAGCTGAATTAAACTAGTTAGAATGAGGCAGATAAACATGGTTCAAGTCTCAAAAAAACAACAAAATACAAGTTGTAATGGAAGCAGCAAAGTCTATTCCTTGATCCTTTTTTGGCTGTCTGCAAACTTATCTCCTTGTATTCAGACATGTCTGTTATAAATGGTACATTTTGGATGAACCTACCTGTGTTCAGCCCCCCTGTACCTCCCCATATTCCCAGTACATAACTTTTTTCAAAAATCCAAATCCCATCCAAAATTTCTCCAGATGAAGGGAGAGGGGATTGGAGACCTGGCCATTTGTCGTGGAGTTCCAATAAGTCTGTCCTGGCTCAAGACATCTGGAAGTCTCTGACAAATGGCCATGGTGCAGATGCAGGTGTGCTGCAACACATCAAAAATACATTTGGGATGCACAGGACAGGTACAGCAAGCAGAAGTGAGCAAGGCCCAGGTTTTGTCAACTGTTTATTATTAAAGCCCAAACAGTAGCAAGCAACAAGCAGCGGAATCTAACCCCTGGTGTGGTAGAAAGTGATACCCGGAAGCAGCCAGAGATGGAGACAAGGAAGGTTAGCGTAACTTTCATGCTAATATTAGCATAGAACCTGCTACATGTAGGCTTAACACACTACACACCTCAGTGCCAACAGATTTAATGTACATATGCTGTAAATTCAATTTGCATATATACAGTAAACTTGATATATCCAAAAGGCAGTGGACTTGTTGAGTAAGTGCTGTAAGGTACAAACATCCTTATGTTTGGATTTGCTGGGTGGAGATAGGGCACCCCTTCCTAAGATCTCAGCCCTCAGATAACGCACACTAAAGGTTAACCACTATCAGTGTACTCTTCATCTGAAGATTAAAATACAAATCCCGTTAGAAAAGTAAAACAAGGTAGAGTCTGAAAATGTCTGCATTGTCTCCCATGGAATGAAGAAGATATGCTCAGTCTAATCATACCTGAAATTGGCTGGACACCCCCATGTTACCAAAAGGTCGTCACAGAATTTGACACCAAGGGCTGGGCAGGAGGTCTGAGCATACTCGGGGGTTAACCGGGCCAGCGCTGGGGTTCTACAATGTCACTGAGAAGTTGTAAGAAACTAGGGTCACCATTTATTACTGTTATGTAACCAAATGGTTATATTTAAGCTAAAGAAGCATTAGACTATGAAGCCTACAGCAGGAAACACTCTTTCTGCTGCTCAGACACCAACCCTAGCACACTAAAAGTCCATCCTGTTTCCTGCCGTGGGCCAGAGCCAGGAACTATTCCTACCTGTCCCCAAAACACTTGGGAGAACCTGACAAAAAGGCAATTGCTCATAAAGTAGAAGCAACCTGGAAAGGAGGCGCAGAGAAGAGCACCTTAGATCAGACTGCTGCTCCCTTTTCAAGGCTGGTGGAGGGAGGTACAAAGTTGCCATCAGACAGAACTACACGCAGGGGAATGGAGGAAACAGGAATAAGTGACTCTGGTTAGAAAGAAACTTGGGTAGAAGCATCAGCAATGCAGAAAGGCCTGAGGGGAGACAGGACCCAGAAGTCAAATTCTATTTAATTCAGAAGGAAAGGAGTCACACATAAAATGGGAAAACAAGAGGAATAAGCAAGGAGGATGATCAAAATCAACTCCCCAGAAACCTTCCTAGAAAAGAAGGTAATGCAGAAATCACCATGTAAGGGCTGTTTGCAACAACAGCTTTGACTCTTGTTCCAGAAAGGAGAAGATGGGGCCCTTGCCTGGTACCTGCTCTCTTATCTAGCACTTAGAGCAAGGGGGCTCAGTGACAGGGATAGCCAAGTTTTCCTGTTTTCCTGGCACACCATAAGCACTTGGGGAAAAAAAAATAATCATTATCATTAAAAAGTCTTTTAACATTTCAGTGTTTGCTGCTGCTTGTTTATTAAGTGATCTTCTCCTTGAATAAGGTCCTAAAATGACTTTATTTTCCCAAAATCAAAGTATTTAAAGGGAAAGACTGACAATTTTTCTATACCATTTGTCTGGCTTCCATCTTGACACTTTCTGAAGCACACTCCCAAGTATTTTTCAGAAGCAGCCAGGAAATAGTTTAGGAGCCAGAGAGATTGTTCTGGTTGTCCTCAATCCCTCCTATCAAAAGCTGAGAAATCTGCCCTCTGACCAAAAACCAAAAGTCTCTGTAACCACATGACAAAGGTGTGATCTGTGAGTGTGTCTCTATAAGAAGCTGTGTGACCTTCTTTGGCTTCCCCTGCCCCCTGCCTTCCCCCACTCCATCTGAAAAAAGGTGAAGTAAACACTGCCTCTTACTCAGTACAGAACCATTTTCAGAAGACAAGATGAAGAACGATTTCAGCTGGCACTGAAGACAGCTGTTGCAGTGTAAGTTTTATTCTGACAGATAGAGAGGCTACGTAAAAGTTGGGCTGCTTCTTCGGCTATATTCAAGATCTCCATCAACATTAGTTGTCAGTTTAAAGGCTTCACTGTATGCACAGTCTAAAGTGTTTTTTCCTAAGCTGAAAAGAATACATTTGAGGTTTTTTTACTCTTAGGTTTTTTTTTTTGACCTTTTGTTAATTTACAAGTAGGTGCAACACTGGACTCGAGAAGCAGAATCAAAACTTGAAAGTTATCATATTGACAACTTTGCAATTGTCCATCAAACTGGAAGTGACAGAGGCAGTGTCCAGCCATGGCGCAAGAGCAGAACAGCTCTTTCCACAATCCTGAAGCACAAAAGTGGGTTCCATTCCCATGTAAGTGCTGCAAGATGCTCTTGTGAGAGTTACTTTTATTGTGAAACAATTTACATGGATTAATCATCTGCAAGCGAGTGGACTAAGCACTCTTTGTCCAACAGCCATTTCAACTTGACTACACAGGAAGAGGAATACATATAGCTTCCCTTTTCCTTTATTCTTCTGTTGATTTTTGTTCACCCAAATTTAAAATTAGATGGGAGATACAGAACAGGTTGGTAACAGTCATAATGCTGTATTTGGACTGAACACTTACTGCAGTTGTATGAGTTGGAGAACTCGAGCTTGTTGGCCAGGAGGGTACAGAATCTGTAGCTGAAGGATCCCAGATGGATGATGGAACATTATTGAATTCATTCCAGTTTCTCTGAACATCCTGCCCATAAGCAGATCGAGCTAAACCAAGTTTGCTAAAAACCTCTAAAAAGAAAATGGAAAAAACGTGAGTACATTGCTCTGCCTCTTTTTCCAAGAACCACAGCAGACTAATACTCCTGATAATAATTTCACATATTTTTCTAGCAGGTTCTGCTGCAGTGCAAGAACTGAGATTAGAAAAGGTGACACAGTGATACAGATCTCACCTCACGTGCCCTACATCCGACAGTGGCTAGTTAGAAAGTTAGAATCATGGCTATAGAAGGGAATAAAAGTTATCTGCTTACTGTGAATAATTCAGTATAATGATAATTATAATTCAGATCATTCAGTATCAGCCTGTGGGATTTGTTTGGTTCCTGGTATTATTTACCCAAAAGCAAACAGTCAGGGAACCAGGCAGAAGCTGGGCAATACTGAGAGCCCTGGCAGTTCCTCGTAAGAAGTTAACTGCAGGTGGAGTAAGCGACCCAGCTGATGGAGCCTCTTATAATCGCAGCACTTGTTTGCTTTGCAGCACTTCCTTCCCAGGTAATTCCTGGTACCGGAGGCAGCAGTGGCTGTGCCCCAGCCCGGTCCACCTCTCTGCCATGAGGAGGAGAGGGCAGCACCAGCACTCAGGGTTCACCTGGTCCCCACACACATGGAGGGAGCGAAGACTAAGGAAAAAATCAAGTATCAAGAAGTTTTACTGAAACCGAGAAACTTCAAAAAACAAGTGTTTCCAGCCCAACAAGCACTCTTAAGAGTTTCCACTCTCTCTGGGCTGAAACACAGAATACACCACTGAATTTTTAACACGCTTTCCTGTGTAGTCACCCTTTTGCGGGGCACGGATGGGAGCAGTGCCTGCAGAATGGAGACACCCCGTTTCTTTACTGGTATTTGAATATGGAAAATATTTGAAAACAAAAACTCACCTCCAGTTAAGTTAAAAGAATGTCCAAATGCAGAGAATGAGTTGAGAGGTGTGAAGTCAGGACTGCTGGGATTGCTGATAGGACTCCACAAGCCTGAACTAAATATTATGGAGTAATGGGAAAGCAATCCGCAACTCATTAACACAGTACTACCAACAATATTGACTTATTAATCTATAGACAAATATATAAAATATATACATACAAACATATGTATGTACGTACATATATACATATGTATATATCATAATATATATATATATATAAAATCATGATCAAGAGTTAGGAGATTAGCTTATTTTTATAGATTTCAATGAAATACCATTTTCCAGTGTATACATCCAGTTTGGTGCGACGCACTGCTCTACGTATAAGGCTCTTTAACCTGTAGACTGAGCTCCAACACAAACCTGAGTAGCTCTTTTGCTCAGTTTTTCAGAACACGTATAGGGCCTGAGCCACAGCACAGGTTTTTTGACAAGCAGATACAAGAGCGACTCAGAAGCGATACAAGTGCTCACGCTCTAGTTTGTGGACAAGCTTCTCTAAAATACAGATGAGTTAACTGGAACCAGTGATAAAACATTTACAGAAACCAGTCAAAACCCCACCCACAAACTTTGCTCAGAAAAGCAATTCCTTTGCGTACTGAAACTTGAATTCAAGTCTCTTTCCTATTCTAGAAAGGTTACCAGACACTCACTGCTTTTTTGCAAGACACATGTGCACTGCCAAAACACATCAGAAAAGACAGCATGCCTTGGGGAACACCACTGAGCACAGCTGTATTCTACTACTCATAACGAAAAGCCCAGTGATCCTTCTGGTGTTAAAACTGGGAGTAAAAGATAGTGCTGTACAGCAAGATAATCTGCCTGTAAACTCTTTCAAGTGACCTTGGTTCACACACCTCGGTCCTGAAAGAGCCAAACTTATTTCTCATTGTTTGGATGCCCGGGGAACGCAAGATTGTTGAGTTACTGAGAATGAGGGGGAGAAAGTCCCCAGCACATCCAGAACATCCTTCTGTCTACTTCTGGGTCACTCATAAGTTGTGAATTTTTTTTGCAAGGTGAGAGAGGCTGTGTCCAGGCTTTAAAAACCAGTTTTTTTAAAAAACAAAAAAAACAAAAGGGAAAAAAAAGAATAATAATAAAAAAAAAGGAATCAGAATGAATTCTGTCACTACCTTCAAAGTGCCAGTAACAGCTTACAGACTTCTTTTCTAGGGGCCTAGGTATTTGCCTAAAATTAATAAAAGTTACCTGTCAGAGCCATCACTGTCAACAGCTGTGTGGGAAACGCTGATATTGCTGGAAACATCCGTCTTGCTTGGAGAAACCTTTGGTAAACCACTACCACCTGCAAGCATATGTATATGTAAAAATGAGTAAAATAAGAAAACACCAAAATAACAGAATATTTGAGAAATATTTAGAACTGCAAACTGGTTCTAGTACCTGGGCTCTTGTCATAACCCGCAGCTACAGCAGCAAAAGTGGGGTTGCCATTCCTGCCTGGAAGAGAAGCTGCCTTTGCCAGCTTATGTTTGGTACCATTAGGCTGCTTGCTTTTCGTTTCACTTAAAGGAGAGGAGGAAAAAAAACCAAGAGAGTAAGGTTTTGGTCTTCAGCAGTTTGACAAAAACAGCAGCAATTTAAGCTAGCATTCATGAACATGTTAGCAACAGCTGAACAGTTCATGTAATTCCACATTTTTCCAATCTACTAAGTTGTAAGAAACCCCAGAAAAATTTAAACAGCAGGGTAGTATATGCACAGTAATATCTGCAAAAAAGCTGTTTCCACGGGAAGAGGATCTGAGAAGAGGGAGATGCACTGTATGAAGCACGTAGGTTCCACAAGCGTTCTGTGCTTGGGACATTGATAGGAGGTACAGATTTGGACTCACTTGCTGCAGCTGCTGTTCACAATGCTGCTGTAAGTGCCTCCTCGTGGCCCAAAAGCAAACGATGCGGGAGGAGGAGGAGGAGATGGAGAGGCGGGTGTCGGCGAGGGCTGTCGCTGTTTCAGGAAAGCATCTGCGTTCAGGGTTTGCAGAGAGAGTTTATAAAGGTTGTCCGTAGCTATAAAGAGAAACACAAAACACCTTCCTGTAATGTTTACTTTAAGACAAAGGCTTCTCAAACTTCTGCTATCCTTTCTGTTCAAATTGAGGCACATTATGACAAAGGCTGTTCCCAGCAATCGAAGTAGTAGCTCCTTCTCTACATTCACCTATCATTAAGTCAGGTTTACTACCTATTTTCTAAGAGACTGTATTGCAGTATAAGCACCAAGATAAACTGATTTGTACATAAGAAAGAACCTAAGTGAGCACTGTGGATGACTTTGTGCTCGCCTGCAACCGAGAGCAAGGAGAGTCGGTGTCCACACAAGGGACTTACAACCAAAAAGCTTCTAACAGTGCCCCATGCCAACCATTGCATTAAGGCCTTTTCAGTGTTCCCTCTCAAGGACAAATCGTAGTTTCAACTTTGGCTGCAGCACACTTGACCTTGGGGTTCACACAAAACCCCATCTGTTGTAGAAAATACATTTTGCTTGGGCATGGTAATTCTCATTTCCTCAATTTCCCCAGCAGCTTCTGAGTCCTGTTCATCACCAAAGAACTGTGGAATGGTCCACATTTTGCCCATGAGGTTTTCAAACCTCCCAAATTGCACCAGGTGCTATCAATGGAGGCCTACAGCAGAAAATGCGAGCACAGCTATGCAGAAAAAAAAAAAAAAAAGACAGGAAGATCTATAAACAAGACCAAGCCAAGCCTACCTACAACTATTCATTGTGGAAGAGTAATTCTGTCATCCTCTAGTGATTACTTACAGCTGTCAGCTTTGTGAAGAGGCACTGAGTCCCACTCTGGTGGTGGAGAATCCTTTTCCCCTTCTGAGCTGCTGGTGTTTCCTAGCTCTGGTCCAGAACCACCGGGGAGAAATTTTGCTAATACTGATGGCCTGTTCTCCATTAGCTTACTGTTTGGACCTATTAAAACAAAAGAAGAAAAGCAAGGCCATGGATAGTAAACCAAACAGCTTTCTTCTCACACCAGACTTAGAATTAAGAGGGGATACAAACAACCAAATAAAGCTCCCGAGGTATTTATAAAAAATAGCCTCACACTACCTCTCGTTTTGGGGAGGTTTCTTGATTTAGACACATTCGTCAAAAGGTGCTGTGTAGGTATCTTGGATGGAAAGGTTTTGCGCTGCTTGTTTTCCAGCGGGGGAGTATAAGACAGTTCCAAGGAACTAAATGAAAACAGAGATCCATTTTTAAGCTCTCTGAAGTGCTGAAGAGGACTTTTTTTATACACACATATACACATACATATATATGCCATACAGTCTTACAAAAGACTGGTCTCCTGTGGCTTTCTTATGTCAAACTTGTGCTCATCTTCAAAGCTATTCATAAGCAGAGTTTTGTATTTCCCCATATGCAACTCCACCCTTCCTAGCTCTGGCTCATTTTCTACCCACACTGCCCCACACATTTATTAGGGCTCACTCACCTTCCAGGAGCAGCTTTCATCCTGGAGCTCCAGGATTACAAACCTTGCTTGATTATACAGGGGTAAACAAGAGATGGCAACTGCCGTTTTTCTACTCTGCCCCCACACACTCTTGTTAGATCACATTCCCAATATGCTATTGCCCTGAATGTACAGGACCATCTTTTAATCGATGACATAAAACTATTCAAACCCGCCACCAAATTAATTTGGCTATATGTTGTTCTTTTTCTCCAGCTATTTGATAAGTCTCTCAAACTTTCTAGGGAGTAACTATTTTACCCATTTCTCACAGAAGAATTCCAAACCAGCTCTTACTGTGGCCTCCGAACACTGTCACATGTAATGAGCTTGTGATTTGTATGATAAAGGAAAGCAGATAATGGTAAGAATAAATAAGATAAGGAGGAGATTTTGTCAGGCAATGTTTTCAGAAATATTTTGAAGAAAATTGATTTATACTAACTACTAATCCTAGCTAGTCTAGTATTACTTACAGCAACAGGGAAAACACAAGCCAATAATATACCATGCCTCAGTTTGGTTAAGTTTACTTTTGTGGCACTTTGATGCAGTCTGATTTCAGAATTTCAGAATAATATTTCAGAATGAATTAGATATATTAAGACTAAGGTTCTTCATTTTTCCCCTTTCTATAATCTGCAGTCAACCACCTGCCAGCAAGGGAAAGGCACTGGCAGCAGCAGCAACCACCCTTAATAACATACCCAAGACCCTGATCTTGATGATGATATGCTCTATGATACAAAAAAGGAAATTGCACAGCTGTAATTTCATCAAGGGCACCTAAAGGCACTCGTCTTAACGCTGACTTACTGTGCTGCCACTAGAAGCTCCTGCAGAAACATTAACCCTATTTTGTGTATGTGATACCTGTTACAAAAAGCTTAACGTTCCTTAACCTGATTTTCTTCTGTGGATTTAGCTCTCGTTTTATTTACACACTGTATTCCCATTAAATCATTTATTACTTATAAGCTTCAGATATTGCCTGATATCAGGACGAGGAAGCTGCTTAAAGGGATCTGCTGTTGGCATTAGGCAGACTGACAGCCACAACAGTTGAATACAGATTTTTATCAATCTGTCTTCCCTTCAAGCACGATGCCTTCTCTACTAAATAGCCTTTGTTGTGCTTACCTGGTTTTCACATCTATAGGGATTTCTTTCTTGATACTTGTTAGCAGTCTTTTAGTTTTCTGTTTTACTTGTATTATTTCATTTTCAGGTTTTTCTGGTATAACTTTTCCCTTTTGTTTTTCAGGTTCCTACAAAAGACATTATAACAACATGTTAATATTCATGACAAGTCAAGTCCCTCTTGCATCACAACATACATAGTATAAATAGGGCTGAGGAAAGAATACTATTTGAAAACGTGCATTTTTGCAGCATAGAAGCTATCTTTTTACTACTTAGTGAGTACACCTATAAAACATGGTATCTATTTTTTTTCCGATTTGGAGAAGTAGAAATCGAAATATCTAGCAAATTAATGTGCTTCAAGTAGATCAGATGTTTGCAAATACACAGCTCCTCAGGCCACGGCCCCTCAGTCTACGTATCTACGTAAAAAGATGCTAGCTCTGCATTGAGACCTGTACTGCATCTATCCCAGGCCCAGGCCATATACTATCAAGTGCACTATACAGTGTAGAAGTATACTATACTATCAAATAGACATCCTGAAAAATCAAAGGTGATTTTCAAATGAAAACTTTACTAAACTGTAGCTTTTAAAATATATTACACTGATTTATCTTCTTTCCCCCCCACCCGCTAGAATCCATATCTTTTCCAAAGTTCAAATTTAAGACTTGTCAAAATTTAGGCTTGGTTTTCTTCTCTCTGCAATTACCTTCACTTTGTTTGGTTCCCTAGCACATGGAATACTTTAGGACATAAATATTTAAGACAACCCGACCACTACACAAATTTTTAGGGCTTTAGTTTATTACCTAGAACTATGTAAGCAAAATGAGTAAAATAAAGGTAGGGGTATTGTCAAAGGTAATTAAGTTAACTACCTGCTGGCAAGTTACCACCAGCAAACTGGCCCTTTGTAACTGATGAAATGCGCGGTTTTAGCATACACCTTAATCATCGAGTAAAATTAGTGCCCATACTTTTGGCATTTTATTCTGCAAGTGGAATAGGCTAGGAGTGTGCAGACACATTCACCACAAAGCTGCTGACAACCGGCGGCTTATTCAAGCCACAGTCACTCAGGCACTCTCAGTCCAGAGACTACATGATTCAAGCATGTTCACACTCACAGAGGAGCAAACTTAATTGAGAAGAAGTGAAGGCATGGACTGGGAAAGATGGTTTTTAATTAACATTCTTCCTTTGTTAGGTATTACAGTATATGGAAGCTGGGGATGGGGTGGGGGAAGAGACTGTACTTCTAACGGGTGACCCACCAGCTACACAAGAGCTGCCTTTTATGAGCAGCATCATACCTCTTTGAGAAGTGGTTCTGTATCTGGGTTGGAGGTTTCGGTTGTGGTTGAAGAACTGTCATCATCTGCCAAGGAGTCTTTCAGTTCATCCTCCTGTTGCTTTCCTTTCCCTCTTCTGTCCTTTTCTTCCCGCTTCTTCTGCGGCTTAGCCTTGCGCTGAAGTATTTTCCCTTTCCCTAGGAAGATAAGGATGCTTCAGATTCCCAGGAGCAGTACTCACAGATGGGCTAGTTCATGTTGGAGGTGAACCTACATGACTAAGCCTTGTTGTCCATTATGATACACCAACCGTTTGCAGCCCCTTCACACCAAATGTGAGCAAAAGCATCAAACCTCAAGAACCCTGATCTCTACCGTCCTATTTATGCTCCTGAGCCCCACATCCATCGCCTCTCTGTAGACGATGGGCATCTGGCTACCTACAATTCTTCTCCACTATGTTCCTGGCATTCCTTTCAAGCACCTTAGAATCCAATTTGGCAGTTTAACCACGTAAGACTAAATTTACACATGAACTTCAGAAGGTGGCACAAGCTTTATCATCCAAGCAAATGAAGAACAGAAATTATTAGCAGTGTTCATCAGTTAACAAAACAAAACAACTTGCAGTAAGACTAGAGCAGATGAGAAAAATCACTAATAGCATTTGTCTAGCAAAGATGTAAAAACCCACAACCTCCAAAACCTGAAAATCTCACATGCAAGTATACTTTCTCCCTTAACATATTTTATTCTTTTGTCATGTACTATTTAAGAGGGAGGATGAAGCTGACTGTGAAACAGTTTGGCTTGATGCATTAAAATGTTATTGCATCTCAAAGTAGGGAAAACAATGCATTAAACACTCCAGGGGATGTTTAATAATTTTTTTAAGCAATCCACATATGAATAAATAATACTACTTGAACAATTGGTTATGTTTTTCCTGCAATTTCTACAGGCTAACTGAAATGTAGCATAGTCTAAGTTCAAAATGTAGAGGTTTAAGAACCTTCAAAATCAAGCCAGAGGTCCTGGCTTGCAAAATAAACAGGATTAGGCTGCTGGGGAGTAAAAAAGCTATCAAAAAAAGCATCGATACAGAGAAACTGTGCGTGCACGTGTGTGGAGTCATCATCATTCTACCATCGCCTCTTGTTATTCTCCTACAGGACAAGAGCATTCACAACATATTTAGGTCTTTCATTAGGTGGAATACGCCTTTACCAACAAGATCTTTCTTAGATACTGCCCTTCAAACTAAACATTCTCATTTATAATCCACACTGTGCCTGCATACAGCTTCCACGATGGACTTAATAGTTCACTCAAGTAAAGACTCAATCAACCTGTGCCAAGTAAGTGGATTCAGCCCCTTCTGGGATTTGTACCAGCTCAAGTTGGAACTGAGTCTGGCAGCAGGATGACTGCTGTCGTATTTCATTTGGCAAAATGTCCCTCAGGGAAAGTTTGTACCAAAACATAAATCTGCCTTCAGTATTTTGGCAAATACCAGATACATATCAAAGGGCGGTGCCTTCAAACTGTGTTTCTTTCAGACTTAATGTTTGCAGTATCAAGAACAAGAAGAATATTGGAGATAAAAGTGAATACAAATAGAAGTGTAAATACAAGCAGGTCTTTGTATGGAAATTTTCTAAAGGACATCCCTCAGCTTATTGGGGGTATTCTTGTTTTGCCTCAGAAGGCCTCATTCTAAGATTTGGTTCAAGTTTAGTCTACATTCACGATTGCTAAACAGTTCAATGTTCATTATTAGAAAAATCTATTTAAAATGTTATCATGACATAAAAATATAATGTAAAGCAGCTGTTTAACAAAAATCTAATGTAGCCTCAGCAGTCTGCTAGGACCCAGGTATTGGGAAGCTGAAATCAAAGACTATAAAGATGGGAATCCTGCACAGGGTTTTACAACAGCCAGTTTTAGCCCAGAAGGTGCTGCTTCTGCAGATGTTCATGACTAGCTCTAGCTATTATCTAAAGACAAGTATCAGTGTGTGTATATGTAGATCCAGATAGATAACTGAACTTCCCCTATGGTTCTAAAGAGGGCAAATGGAAATAGGAACATTTTATTTGATGTGCTGAGCTTTCATGAGTCAAGTTATGGTTGACAGATAATGTGGGAAGGTTTTTTTGTTTGGTTGGTTTTGGTTTGTGTGGGGGTTTTGTTTTGTTTTGTTTTGTTTTTTAACAAATTTTGTAAAAAAAAAGGTCTACATCCATAAATCTGATTTATTGCTCAGAGATTTCAATAAAGATTGTCTCTTTATTGAGACAATGAAGAGGTCAAGAAAACTATCTTGACTATGCAAAATGCAACATTCATAATATATTTTGCAATATAGAGTATGTTTAAATATTCAGTATACCACCATGCCAAAGCACAAATGATGCAAAGCCCTTGTAAGAGGAGGAAAAATGGGAATTTCTATGAATTAATTTGTAGGTGAAAGTTACAAAACAGGAAAGTAATTCCAAAAAATGGAACCCATGTAAGTGATTAGGAACTAAGTACCCATGTAAGTGATTAGGAACTAAGTATTTTATCATCTTTTAAACAGCTTTTGAAATCAATAGACAAATCAACACAAGCACCCGTTCTCTGGAAAATGCATTTAAATATAGTTGAAAAAATGTAATTAAAGGTCCATCAACACTTAGGAACAGCTATTTGCTAAGACAAGCTCCCAATACATAGAAATTACTATAGGTACAAAAACACTAACATAGGTACACTACATTATTTGGATCAGGAACATGCTTTTGAAACAAAACTGAATGGTCCCCACATACTGCATAGCAGCTGCCTCGCGCAGGAGGATTGGAGTGCAAGAGTTGGTTTCTTTTTAGGATGAACAACAAACACTCCCAGTTCTTTCAGGCATTCAGTACGTGGACTAGGTCAGTCCATGTAAACCACTGAGACATGCCCCATGAGGACGCTGCATTCTCCCTAGCAGCCATTTTGCTCTCCAGAGCTCCAGTACAGCAATATTTGCTAACACAGACAGAATCACAGAATCATTAAGACCTTTAAGATCAAGTCCAACCATCAACCCACCACCACCAAGCCCACTAAACCATGTCCTGAAGTGCCACATCCACACGTTTTTTGAACACTTCCAGGGATGGCGACTCCACCCCCTCCCTGGGCAGCCTGTTCCAATGCTGGACCACTCAGTAAAGAAATTTTTCCTACTATCCAGTCTAAACCTCCCCTGGCGCAACTTGAGGCCATTTCCTCTCACCCTATCACTAGTTACTTGGGAGAAGAGACCAACACCCACCTCACCACAACCCCCTTTCAGGTAGTTGTAGAGAGCGGTAAGGTTCTCCAGACTAAATGACCCCAGTCCCCTCAGCCGCTCCTCATAAGACTTGTGCTCCAGACCCCTCACCAGCTTTGTTGCCCTTCTTTGGACACGCTCCAGCACCTCAACATCCTTCGTGTAGTGAGGGGCCCAAAACTGAACACAGGATTCGAGGTGCGGCCTCATCAGTGACTAGTACAGGGGCACGATCACTTCCCTGCTCCTGCTGGCCACACTGTTTCTGATACAGACGCTGCCTATGAAGCCTACTTACAGTCGTGGCATTTGCTGGAGTATCATTTAGCCTTTATGAAACTAATACCTGACAAACTGGTCATAATTGTCCTAAGATTAATTCCCCCAACCACATCCCCTTGTCTAAACTAAAACCAAAGAAGCTCAGAAATAGCGTAGCGTAT